GACGCGAGACTGCGCGTGTTTGCGCGGTTTCGAATTCACGACGTCAAGGATCAAGCGACGAACGAGTACATGACCGGGGCTCCGAGGACCTGCGCGAATACGATTACCTGGCGGACGGGTACTTTACTCGCGCCTTCGGTCAGGACGCTACCTGCGGACGAGTACCTGGCGAGCGGACGTTTTGCGCGCCATCGGCGCGGCCCCCGGTTTACCCGCGGGCGAGTACTTGCGTGGGGTGCAGTTTACCTGCAGGCGAGTACCTGGCGAGCGAGCACGTTACGCGCGCTACCGGCTACCGGCGCGGCCTGCCGATCTACCTGCGCGCTGGTACTCGTGCAAGTCGCTATTTGCCTGCGGGTGTGTACTCGGCGGGCGAGTACTTTACGCGCTCCATCGGCCGCCGCCACGCCCTACGAGTTTCCTGCACACGAGGACTTGCCTGGGTTACCGTTTACCTGCGGGTGCCATCAGTGACCGGCGCGGGCGACCGGCTTCTGGCGCGGACATCCGATCAACCTGCCGACGAGTACTTGCGCGGGTCGCCACTTACCTGCTGGGCAAGCACCGAGGACCCTGCGGCAGTGCCGATATACCGCGCGGGCGAGCATGTGGCGGGCGCGTACACCAGGCGGGTTCCGACCTACGCGATAAGCGAATACCTGGCGTGGGTTACGCTTTACCTGGCGAGCGACCACTGTACGCGCGCCCGTGGCTGCCAAAACGGGCCCTCGACCTACCTGCGGACGATCACCTGGCCAGCGAGCAGTTGACGCGTGGGTACTGTGCGCGCGCCACTGGCCACACGCGTGGGCTCCCGGTGTACCTGCGGACGCGTTCTCGCGCAGGTTGCGAATTACCTGGTGGGCGGCTACTCTGCGCGCCCCATCGGCAGCCGGCGCGCCCTAAGGGTTACCTGCGTGCGGGTACTTGCGCGGGTCGCGATCTACCTGCGGGCTGGTACTTGGCGAGCGAGTACTTGCGCGGGTCAGCATCTACGTGCTGGCGAGTACCTGGCGGATGGCTACTTTACGCGCCCCGCCGGCTACACGCGCGGGCTCCCGGTTCACCGGGGCAGCGTACTTGTGCAGGTCGCGAACCACCAGGCGCACGAGTACTTGGTGGGCGGCCACTCTGCGCGCCCCATCGGCAGCCGGCGCGCCCTAAGGGTTACCTGCGTGCGGG